TCTGAAGAAGAAGAAATCAAAAAAACCACCCCTTTTATTATTGAAACAAAAAAAATCAAATATTTGGGAATAAATCTAACAAAAGAGGTAAAGGACCTATACAAAGAAAACTATAAAACACTGTTAAAAGAAATAGAAGAAGACACAAAGAAATGGAAAGACATCCCCTGCTCATGGATTGGAAGAATAAACATTAAAATGGCCATCCTACCAAAAGCAATATACAGATTCAATGCTATTCCAATCAAAATCTCAATGGCATTCTTCAAAGAAATAGAACAATTATTGATGAAATTCATATGGAATCACCAAAAACCCCGAATAGCCAAAGCTCTACTGAAAAAAAAAGAAGGAAATGGAGGCATCAAACTCCCAGACTTCAAACTATACTACAAAGCCATAATCATCAAAACTGCATGGTATTGGAACAAGAACAGACATACAGACCAATGGAATCGAATAGAAAATCCAGAAATAAACCCACAGATTTATGGTCAACTAATCTTTGACAAAGGAGCAAAGACTATGCATTGGAGCAAAGAAAGTTTGTTCAATAAATGGTGCTGGGAAAACTGGGTCGCTACATGCAAAAGAATGAAGCTTGACCACTACCTCACACCATACACAAAAATCAACTCAAAATGGATTAAAGAACTAGACATAAGACCTGAAACCATAAAATACATAGAAGGAAATATAGGCGAAACACTACGGGATTTGCACATCAAAGACATCTTTACAGACACATCACCCAAAGCAGTGATAGTGAAGGCAAAGATAAACAGCTGGGACTACATCAAATTAAAGAGCTTCTGCACAGCAAAAGAGACAATAACAAAAACAAAGAGAAACCCCACCAACTGGGAGAACATTTTTGCACCCAACACTAATGATAAAGGACTGATCACAAAAATCTGCAAAGAGCTGATGAGACTCAGCAACAACAAAGAAATAATCCAGTCAAAAAATGGGCAGAAGAGCTAAAAAGAAACTTCTCTGAAGAGGAAATGCAAATGGCCAACAGACATATGAAAAAATGTTCAACATCACTTGCAATCAGGGAAATGCAAATCAAAACTACCATGAGATACCATCTCACACCAGTGAGAATGGCACATATTAAAAAAACTAGCAACAACAAATGTTGGCGAGGATGTGGAGAAAAAGGAACTCTTGTGCACTCTTGGTGGGAGTGCAAACTGGTCCAACCACTATGGAGAGCTGTGTGGAGATTTCTGGACCTACTAAACATAGAGCTTCCATATGATCCAGCAATTCCACTCCTAGGTATTTACCCAAAGGACACAGAAACATCAATTCCAAAGAGCACCTGCACCCCTATGTTTATAGCAGCACTGTTTACAATAGCTAAGCTTTGGAAACAACCCAAATGCCCAAAAGTAGATGACTGGATCAAGAAGATGTGGTACATATATACCATGGAATATTACTCAGCATTCAAAAAAGATAAACACATGCAATTTGCAGCAACATGGATGGCGCTGGAAGGGATCATGCTCAGCGAAATAAGCCAAAAAGAAAAAGAAAAATACCGGATGGTCTCACTCATAGCAGGAATCTAGAAAACTTAAATAAGGGACCAGGAAAATGAATATAAGAAAGTGAAAATCAAAATCAACAAAAAACTATGAACCAGAGACACTTTTTGGGGGGTGGGGGGGGGAGGGGAAGGATTGGGGTCAGAATGGAGCGTTTGCAATTGTATGGGGGAATATAAAAAAAAATTTAAGATTAAAAAAAAAAAAAAAAAAAAAAAAAAAAAAAAGGATCTATACCATTTGATCCCCTGGCTCTAAGGCTTTTGGACTTGAACTAAAATACAGCATGAACTTTCCTGGGTCTCTAGTTTGCAGATACCAAATCATGGGACTTCTCAGTCTCCCTAATTGTATGAGTCAATTTTTATATATATATATATATATATATGTGTGTGTGTGTATGCTGTGATATATAATGTATTATAAGTAATATATAACACTATATACATATTATAGGCATATATACATATATGTTATAATTTATATATTATACACACACACATAAAATAAATATGTTGGAACTGTCTGTCTGGAGAACCCTAACCCCTAGTCTGGAGAGGTTTCCACTCACCTCTCAGTCTACTATATTTGCCTCATCTAGTCCATTTAGGAGTGAAAACTCTGTTGTGATGTTCATAGTGAAGGTGTTTCTATACCAGTCACTATTTTTGAGCAGGACCTAGATGAGGATTATTAAGAAACTGAAACAAGTAGATTTTCATAAAAGTTAAGTGCTAGCAAGAACAAGAGTCTTGGTCCTCCCTGGTGGCACAGGTGGTTGGTCGCTGTGCTATGACGCTGTCCGCAGCCTCTGCAGCACCAGTTCGATCCTGGCTGGCCAGTAAGAATCCCACATGGCGCAGCAGACCTCTCCTGTCTCACCCGCTGCTCCCCTTAGCGGTGTATTTCATCAGTCTGCCTGTTCTGTTCCCTGCTCTGTCTCTGGTGAATCCTCTCACCCTCCTGCACATCTGGCCTGTACCCCGGTTCTTGTAGAAAAATAAATAAATCTTTAAAAAAAAAAAAGAACAAGAGTATTAGGTGATCTATCCTTGACTTGCTTTCCCATTAGTCATTTTTTACCTCACCTGCTTTTTGTTACAGTGTAACAGGACACACAGGAGTGGAATATTTTTCTTTCTTTTATAAATAATTCCCCTTTGAACAGAAATAATGACACAAAGATGAAATGTTTGAGGTATATAATTCAAGAAACATGAAGTATTTACTATACACCGGGGACCATTTGGGATTTGGGGACTTAATTTCTATTTCTTACCTATATCGGAAATAGTATGGTTACAATGAGGAGAAAAGTTTTGTCTTTAATTCTGAGACAAATAGGAATTTCCACAGTAATAGGATAATAGAAATATAATTTTGAAGATGAAAAGTCAATTATCTATTTGCTGATAATGAGTATCTGAGAGAGAAATAAGCATCAGCTTGGTGAGTGGACGGCAAGAATGGAAATAGGAATTCCAATCAAAATTAGAGTGTTTTAAAATTAGACCCACTAAGGGAATGAGCGTCTAAACTCAGAGCCTGAAGCTCTAACAAGCCATCATTCTGGTTGAGAACTCAAAATCCCATGAGGGGAGCACTTTAATTACTATTTTGATTTTAAATTCCATTTGTTAGCAAAGCAGTCACTCTCTTGGTTTATTGACAGGATTTTCGAATTTAAGAAGCAGAGTTTTGAGGTTGATCATTCGGTCTCTTCCCAATCTCCCTCCCAATGAGTTCTTCCCATCTCTTAAACCAGCCTCCATGTTACTTTCTTGCATATGGCCATCTCCTCAGTGGGCAGCTGTCTCTTCTTTGAGCTCCAGCACTGAATACCATTCTTCACCCTCACCTTCATTTTTCTTTTCACCCCTGTACTTTATAATGTCGCAAAGGAAAGCTGGATGGCCAATGTCACTGTGGTACTGGGGTGTCCTGCTCCATCCCAATGACCTCTGTTGGGAAAATAGTTTGTTTCATGAAACCTGAATTCAGCCTCTCCAGACCTGGGTCAAAGTATGATTCTACATGGTTATTTGTGGGACTTTCATAGACAAATAAACAAGAAAAAAGGTGCCTGAGGATAGAACAATTTGAATAGATCAACTAAGGAGAAAGAAAGGCCCCGTGAGAAGTGCTGAGGTCTTGAGAATGCCGAGCCAAGATGCATTCACATTCGGCTGGCAACTTCAATAAGGCTGTAATTTTGTTATTTTTTCCTTCCTGACTGTTTTCCTCTTCTTACTAGCTAAGGAAACCTGAAAAACCCTCAAATCAGCTGTGTGCTGGCTGAAGAGGTCCTTGTACTGAAGTGTGTCCAGGGGAGGAGAGAGCCGCGGAGTGGGAATCCTAGTTTGTGCCCATGGGCAGAAGGGAAGCAAACAGGCCAACCCTGGGGCCTCGCCAAGGCAGAAAGGGGCTTCCCAGGGAAATTGCCCAGCAGAGTCAGGAATAACAACGCTGGCAGCAGAGAAAACATTTTCAAATACCAACCCCACCAAATAGCTCAATTTTTTTAACCTAAATATACTACAGGGCCTCCCTGGTGGCTCAAGGGGTTAAGCATGGCACTTTGAAGCAATCCACAGCCTCTGCAGCATGAGTTCGATCACCAGCCGGCCAGGGAGCAACCCACATGGCAAAGCAGACCTCTCCTGTCTCACCTGCTGCTCCCCTCAGCAGTGTATTTCAGTACATCTGCCTAGTCTCCTCCATACTCTGTCTCTGGTGAATCCTCTCACTCCACCCCCCTGCCCCACATCTCTGGCCTGTACCCTGGCTCTTGTATGCATAAATAAATAATTTCAAAAATACTATGAAATAGAGAAGTAATATCTGTCCTTCTGGGGGCTGAGAAAAACTTCCAGGCATGCCTCATGTAGAGTCACTCAGAGATGCCTCGGGAGCTTCATTTGCTCTGCATAGAACCACCCTCTCAGAACGATAAGGGAAAAGTCAAAAGAATCAGGATGACAATAGTCCCGACTGCTCAGATTGGTGAAGAATCCCTCCTTTCAGCTTCCTGCACAGTTGGCTCTCTGATGAGGCCACTGAAGGCTGTACTCTGTTTCTTGGCTGGTGAGTGCATTTCTCAGCCAACATCAGCCTTTAAAAACATCAGCTTAGTGGGTTCTAAATGTTCTTTCAGATGAACTCATTTAATCCTGAAGTAATAAGGCACAGGGTACAGCACAGTTTGGTCTCCACACATTTAAAGCCCTCTTTCTGTTTCCCCTTGGTTCAAGGGTCCCTTGAAAGGTCCACTCATGTTAGCCTGAGACCACGCAAGTGAATGAGAAAGGGCGCTAATGCTTGCTCTTCAGGCTCAGTTCAAATGGCATCAGGCCCTTTGTGAAGCCTTTCCTGGCCCATCCTGTCAAGCAGAGGTGGTCACTGCCTCTACTATACCATCTACATATTTCCATTGCAGCATTGATCATAATGGTTGGCAACGATCTGTCTCTATACCACATGCTAAGCCATATGCTCCTCCAAGGGAAAGGACTGTGTTTTATTTCTCTTTTTACTTCCAGAGCCTAGCAGAGTATCTGATCCCACAGTAGGTGTTTGACGTTTAATGAATGAATGAATGGACGAACCAGGAAATGGACAAGAAGGGGAGGTAGGTGATAAGGGATCTTCTTCCATTTCTTTCGGCTTACTCCAGTATCCCTCTCCTTACTTCTCACATGCCAGCTTCCTATTCTTCCTGTCTCTCCAGTCATGTTAAATATCCTGGGTTTCAGGAGCATCCTTGCCATTTACAGATTGGGAAATTGTTATCCTCATTACATAGTTAATATGGAGAAAGATATATGGTGAAACTTGCAGCCAGGAAGGTCACATGGCATGGTCTGTGAAGGAGACATTCATGGAAGTTGTAGTGTGAGGCTTCTGAGAAAGTCCTGTAAAAAGGGACACACTTAATTGGCTTATGTCTTTTTGCTCTCTGACCTACCTGCGTGGACACAGTTTCTAGAGTACTACAGAAATCTTAGTCCTGATATCTTTGAATCACGAACCAATGCTCATTATGCCTGATACCTGTGTTTTTAACTATGTGTTCAAGTCACTGAAATCTGGCTTATGTTACTTGCAGTGGAAGACAATTCCATACTGATAATCTAGTCTTTTTTAACTTTCTTCCTGCAGAATGCCAGTGTCAGTTCAACTCAGGACCTTTACATGAAACATTTTTCTCTCCTATCATCACCTATATCTTTTCAAAGTCAGCTCATCAAGTTAGAATGTCACTTTCTCAGAGGGATGTTCCCTGAATTCCCTATGTGGAAATTGCTACCTGCAATGCATCCATCATTCTTTACTAAGATCATCCTATTTTATTTTCCTCACTGCCTTATTCACTATCTGAAATGCTTTTGTCTTTTTGTCTTAGTCCATTTAGGTTATTATAACAAAATACCATGGACTGAGTGGCTTGCAAACAACAGAACTCTATTGCTCATGATTCTAGAAGCTGGGAAGGACTTGGTGAGGGCTCTCTTCCTGGATCCTAACTGATACCTTCCTGCTATGTCCTCACATGGCAGAAGGGGCTAGGGACTTATAAGGCATTAATTCCATTCACGAGTGCTCCATTTTAATGGCTTAAAGTAACTCCCAAAGGTGCCATTGACTAATCCCTCCATGTGAGGCATTAAGATTTCAACATATAAATTTTTCAGGTACACCAACATTCAGACCACAGCCCTTCTTGATCCCTGTTATGTGGATTTGTAATTTATGGAATTAAATGGGTTAAATACCATTTATCACCTAAGTACTATATAGAACATTGTTTATATGAGATGAGTTTTAAGTTTAATTTCTCTTAATGAGCTTGTTATGATCTTGATCATAGGTCATCATGCAATTTATCACCATATCTAAGACTCCCTACCTTTTATATTTGAAAGCTCATCATATTTTAACACCTTGATAATTTTTTCTTTGAATTATTAAAGGAGGTTTTAAACATTTATAAAAAGAATCCCACTCAACCTTAGATATTTTTTAATTGATTTCTTGAGTGCTACTACTCATGCCTTGCAGGTCTTATCCAATTTCATATCCTTTCTTGTGAAAATTATACTACTGGAGCACTTTCAAAGGCACCTTGCCTCCCTCCCTGCCCTCCCAAATGGCCCCTGAATCTCTTGTCTTTCCCTCTTGTCTTTCTGCCATTTAAAGGCAGAAAAATCTTGTTAATCCTTTTAGGGACTTTCCCTTTGCTCTGGTTTTTGGTGGGAGGAGTATGGCGGACAAAGAGACTACAAGTAAAACCTTGACATTCCGGAAATGAAATTCTTTCTTTTAACAGCTAAAGAGTATGCATGTGCATATAGAAACTATGTATATAGGCTCATAGGATAGGGCGATCCTGTTATACACTCTTAAAGAATAAAAAGTAGACTAGCATGTGTAAGAGTTTACAAGTTAAATGGCAAATGGTAAATCCAGAAATGTAGGTTGGGGATTATGACACAAATTATTGTTGTTTCACAATACTCATTATCTCTCTTTTTCATAGGAATAAAGTCCTCTTTTTATTTAGGGATGCGATGACAAAAGAATACATCTTCCAGTCTCCCTGTAGTTAGGTGTGACCAGGTGATAGAGTTCTGGAAGACCTTTTGTCTGGGACTGAGTAAGGAGAGCTGACCTGGCTGAAAATTATGTCCTTTTGCCTTTCAATCTTCCTTCTATCTGGAACTTGGACCAATGGCTGGGGCTTCTGTAGTAATCTTGCATCATTAAGTGAGGATGAGGATGGAAGTCAGGCACAAAGGATAGGGAACAGAAGAGTCTTCCACGGAGTTACCACACTAGTTCTGAATTGTCTCTTCTAGGGCTCCTTTACAGTCACAGAATAAACCCTAGTGTCTTTAATCATGGTTCCTTTGGATTTTTTTGTTAGTATAGCTAAATATAATCAATTTTGGTACACATGCTCCCTTGGGGAGTTTTTTAAAATCTGCCAAATGGCCAAGCTGCAGCTCCCAGAAACTTTAGGGATAGAATTCATCAGCATTTTTCAAGCTTCCTTGGTGATTCCAATGTGCAGTCTAGATTGAAACCCTGACTTAGCTGACAGGCCTCATATTTAGCAAGTTCAAGACTCTCCTGGGAAATAGGATGGTTCTTATTTAAAAAATTGGATTTCAGGCCTCACTTTCCAGTGATTTTGGTTCTTGAGGTTTGAAGGCATCCTGGGTGATTCTGAGACAGGCAATCCAGATCACATTTGAAGAAACTGCTTTAGGCAATGGAGAATCTTTGGAAGTTTTAAAGTAAAGAAGTGACAAGATCAGAGGAGAGTTTTAGGAGGATTAGTCTGGATCTAGGGTATGAATTGAAAAGAAGAGGTGAGAGAGTGAAGGCCAGGAGAGACCTACTGGGAAGTACTATGATAGTTGATGGCCTGAGGGGACGTGATTCTGAACAAAGAGGAAGGCCACAGAGGTGGAAAAAAAAGCAAAACACTAGACAGTGAAAAAGACAACACGCTATCAGACTTGGTAACTGACAGAATAGGGGTGAGGTATTCTTAGTGCCTAAAGACTATCCTAGGAGTTTGACTTTCTCTGAGCTATTATGAATTTCTACTTTTTGCTTGACCTTAGGTATAGATATTTGTTTGCTATGTATCCACAACTGTTGATCTTGTTAACCTGATTAGAGTTTTCCATTAGATTGGAAATATTTACTTTAAAAATCAGCTCTATTTAGTGGCTCAGATACTTTATCTCAATCAAGAGTCTATTTCACAAATTTTTATATTGGCTTATATGTATGCAGAAAGAATACACATTTGTATATATCTAGACAAGAAATTGATGTTTTTTCATTTGGTTTTTATGTTTTCTTGAAGTCATGACTTACAGAGCAGAGGAAATATGACCAGGCTGATGGTATTGTTTCTGCTCTGGAGCTGTGCTTCATGTAGGTATCTTTCTGGATGAGATGCAGCTTTAAGAGGTGATCTCAGTGGTAAATGATTGTTTATTCAATATAAAGCTGCCATGAAAAAGATAGATGTTGGGGTGATATTTTATTAAATAACTGGAATTTAACATAATTAGTTTATGAGTAATTCTAAAATACACACTGTCTGCTGATTTGGTTGTAATAACAAACACCTGTGCCTCAGACATTGATCCTAGGTATACTCTTTCAGCCCTCTATTATTTAGAAACCAACATATTATAGTTACAAATCAGAAAAAAAATCAAGTGTAATAGAAATGTCATAAAATATAAGCTAATCTAATTTCTGATTTTTACTAACATCTGTATCAAGACACAATTTCTTTTAAGAATAGATTTTAAAATGCCAAATGAGCAATTGAGCCTCACATCCTCACACTTAGCTTGCCACAATAGTGCCGACAAATTTTCCTAAAGTTCTTTTAAATTTTCTCTCTAATTGAAACATTTATTAAGATAGCTTTAACAAGGCGAACATCATTACATCTGCTCACAATATAAAAAAGCTCTCAAGTTCAACAGGCAATGGGAGAATACTTGTCTAGATTGCATATCACATTTAGTTTGTTGCTCTTAACAGTACTTTGCTTTACTCTGGGGGGAATCAGTACTTTGGCACTTGCTCCAATGTGTGCTTATGGTTCATCAGCATCAGCACCACCGAGGAATCACAACCGGCTCTGTTTCCCTACACACCACGGAAAGTACACGCCCTGATGTCAGTTGCCGCGCCTGCTCCTCTAGTATTCTCTCTTGCAGTTGATTTTTGTTCCCCCTTTGGACACTAGTAATTAAATTGGCTAAGGCAAAAGGCTAACCATATTGGGAGTCAGAACATTTATGAACACATTCATTTCATATAGGAAGTATCCTATTCCACGGTCTCAAACCCCAGCCCTAATTAGGAGCTACAACTTTGGGTACTGAGTAGTCTTCACGCAAGAATGCTAAGAGCACGTGTCAACAGTCCTGGGTAAAAACTCTATCCTTGCAGGGCAAAACAACCTAAAGTGTGCTTGCTTTTTTTTTTTTTTTTTTTAAAGATTTATTTATTTATGCATATAAGGGCTGGGGTAGAGCCTGGAGGTGGGAGGTGGGAGAGGATTCACCAGAGATAGAGTGGGGAGCAGAAAAGGCGGAATCAGTGGAATACAGTGCTAAGGGGAGCAGCAGGCAAGACTGGAAAGGTCTGTTGGGCCATGTGCTTTACCTCCCTGGCCGGCAGTGACTGCAGAGAGCTTCATAGTGCTGCAACTTAACCCCTTGGGCCACCAGGGAGGCCCTAAAGTATGCTTTCTATCAAAGGTGGGTCAAAGGAATTCTATGGGTTGAAAAGGTTGTTCCTCTCTCCCCTCCCCATTCAAATATTGAATGTTGAAGTACTCATCCCCAGTAACCACAGTATGTGGTCTGATTTGGAAATAGGCCTTGCAGGTATATTTACTTGAGTCAGCATAAGGTCATACTAGAGTAGGGTGGGCCCTTAATCCAATACAATTACTGTCTTTACAAAAAGGAAAAAAATTGGACGTGACACATACACACAAGGAGAAAGACACGCGAGGATGAAGACAGAGATACTTCCACAAACCAAGTAACCCCAGGGATTGCCAGCAAACCTCCAGAAATTAGAGGAAAGATCAGATCCTTTCTCCTAGCCCTAGCGAGACCCATCCCTGCCAACACCTTGAGCTTGGACTTCTAGCTTCCATAACTGTGAGGCAAGAAATTTCTGTTGTTTAAGCTACTCAGTTTGAGGTACTTTGTTACTGTAGTCCTAACGAACTCATTCAGAATATTATTAATGGAGATTAAGGGTAGAAAATTTGCAAAGGAGCCGCACAAGACCAGAAACCTGGCTCACAAGAAGCCAAAAGCTGGAGGTGGGAGGGAGGGAGGGAGGTTAGAAGTGATTAACA